GGGAGAAGGGGGCTAACGGCTGGGGATCTCTGAGTCTCCTTCAGGAAACATGTGGGGAGGTAGCAAGGGGCAAGGTCGGGGCTGCTTACCCTGCAGTCCCCATGCTAGAAGCCCACCACAGGCATTGAGCACCCCCAACCCACCTCCTGGCTGGCAGGGACCCAAGCATGCCCTAGGGAAACACTGTCCTCTTACAGGAGATGTTGTAGGAAAGAGGGTCTTTTAGAACCTTCGCTCCTGGGTGACTTTTGTGTTTTCATAGATTTTATTTTTTTAAACAGTTTTAGATTCACAGCAAAATTGGATAGAGAGTACAAGAGAGTTCTCATGCACTACCCCCGTCCCAAACCCCCCACCCCGGCCCCTACACATGCAGAGCCTCCCCCATTATCAACATCTTCCACCAGCGCAGTATGTTTGTTCCAACTGATGAACCTACATGACACCACATTATCATTAAAGCCCATAGTTTACATTAGGATTCACTCTTGGTGTTGTACATTCTGTGGGTTTGGACAAATGTGTCATGACATGTATCCATTACTATAGTATCAGACAGAGTAGTTGTGTTCTGCTTATTCATCGTTCTCTCCTCTTTAACCCTCCCTGATCTTTTTACTGTCTCCAGAGTTCTGCCTTTTCCAGAATGTCATCAAGTTGGAATCATACAGTATAGAGCCTTTTCAGATTGGCTTCTTTCACTTAGAAATACACATTTCAGGTTCCTCCATGTCTTTTCCTAGCTTATTATTCATTTCATTTAGCACTGAATAATATTCCATTGTCTGGAGTTACCAGAGTTTATTTATCCATTCACCTGCTGAAGGAAACTTTGGTTACTTCCAGGTTATGGCAATTATGAATAAAGCTGCTACAAGCATCTGTGGGCAGATAGTTGTGTGCACATAGTTTTCAGCTCATTTGGTAAATATCAAGGAGCATGATTGCAAGATCATAAATAGTATGTTTAGTTCTGTTAGGTAGTTAGAATAGGGAAAAAGAGTCCAAAATGGCGGTGGCTAAAAGACCTGGAAGGGAAAGCCCGAGAAAATAGAAAAAAGGAAGGTCCGAGGACCGGAGTGAGAGCCTCAGGTAAAACAAACAACACTCCTGGCTGGCCCAATTACATAAGACAGGCCCAGGGACAGAGAAACATATAAAAAGAGAAGCCAAAGCCCTCTTCTCTCTCTCTCTCTCCCCCGCGCGATGGGGCGATCTCTTCGCGTCTTTAGATCGACCTGCCCTCTTGCCTCGAAGATGGATTTTCCTGCTATTATCTAAATAAATAGAGCTGTAACACTGAGCTGTAACACTGACTTATTTAAGAGCTGTAACACGGTCCGTTCGAGACCTGAGAGCTGTAACACGGTCTGACCTCCGAGAGCTGTGACCCGCCGAGGGGCTTTAATGTCCGTCACTCCAAATCTTTGCTGTGACGAGACAAAGAACCGAGGAGCATACACTCGCGTGACAGTTCTGTAAAAAAAAAAAAAAAGGCAAAAAAAGCCCTGCCAAACTGCCTTCCTAAGTGCTGTGCCATTTTGCATTCTCGCTAGCGATAGTGATAGTTCTTGATGTTCCACATCCTTGTCAGCATTTGGTGTTGTCAGTGTTCCAGATTTTGGCCAATCTAACAGGTATGTAGTGGTATCTTGTTGTTTTAATTCATAATTTCATAGTGGCATATGCTGATCATCTGGGTCAATTTTAAGGCAGGTTTTTTTTTTTCCAATAATGTTAGGATCATATTAACTTCATTTCTTATCAGTCCACTCTTGAGGGTCAAGTACCCAGGATGGAGAAATGCTCGAATCTTAGGCACTGTTCAGTCACTGGCTCACCACTGGCCTTGGCAAATCAATTACCGACCTGAACTCAGTTTCTTAGCCTGTAAAGTGTCTCTCTTCACTAGGATATGGCCATGGCTTGGTACGGTGGCCAGTGGCAAGTGAAGCCCGTAGCCACAGGCTTTCTCACATGGTACTGGGCCAGGAGTGACTGCAAAATAAGGAGCCCCACAGGCCAGGGCTGATGAGAGAGTCAGGGGGTCACTGAACCCCCCAGCAGATCCCCGGGCTCTCCAGGACTGGCCAGCAGGGTGTGGCAACCTGTCCACAGAGGGCGCTCCCCCAGGGAAGCCGGAGACCAGAGATTCATAAAGCAGGATAGCCAATGGTAGGTCATGCAAATTGCAGGCAAACCTCAGGCAAACAGATAGAGGTCCTGGTTCTTGTCTTCATTAGAAAGGAACCTGGAGGGGTATTCCCTGGTGGTCCAATGGCTAAGACTCCGTGCTCTCCAGTGCAGGGGGCCAAGGTTCGATCTCTGATCAGGGAACTAGATCTAACATGTCACAACTACAGATCCCGCACGCCAAAACTAAGACCTGGTGCAGCCAAATTCATACATAAATAAATAAATATTTTTAAAAAAGAAAGGAGCCTGTGCTCTGGGTTCTGGAAGGTTTAGCTCAAATGGGAGAGAGGGCCTCAAAGCTTTGAGGGCTGGCTGAGGCCTCTCAAGGTCCTCCTGAGCCAATTGTGGGGGAAAGAAGAATCAACAGACAGCGCCCCTCCCCCACCCCCTTCCGGAGGTCTCTGGGCCCTAAAGCGTCTTGTTCCCAGCTAGGCCCTGCCTCCAGCAACGCGATCCAAAAAGACCCTGCACACCTCCTACTCATTTACATTTCACCTCTTTTTTTTTTTTTTTTTTGGCACTACAGAAAAAGAGCAGAATGGCTTTTATTCCCGAAGCACTCAGATAACACCTGTTGGCATTTAAAAAATGAAAGCATACCTTGTGTTATTGTGTTTTTCTTTATTGCACCTCACAATATTGCATGTCTTACAAATTTGAGTGTTTGTGGCAAGTCTGCATTGTCAGGTGACAGCATTTTTTTAGGCAAATAAAATATTTTTAAATTAAGGTATGTATGTTGCTTTTTTAGACATAATGCTACTACACACTGAACACAGCATAGTGTAAACATAACTTTTATATGCACTGGGAAACCAAACAAACAAATTTGTGTGACTTGCTTTATTGTGACATTTATTTCATTGCAGTAGTCTGGAACTGAACCCACAATATCTTTGAGGTATGCCTGTAATAATATATGGACATGGTAGGAAAATCAAACAAAAGAGAAAGATTTAAAATAAAACAACTCTCCCCCACCTTGCCTTCAATTTTCCCAACCTCTATCTGAGGGTACCCAGGTAACAGTTTCTTGTGTTACCTGCCAGAAAAAAATGTTAGGCCCATACAAGCATATAATGCATGCCTGTGTACCCATTAAACAGAAGGCACAGGAAAAGAAGCAGTGCTGTAACAGAGATCTTCCCTTGCTCTCATAACTCATAACTTAGAGATCTCTCTGGCCAGCACATGCAGACTCAGGCAATTTTTGGGCCATGTGGATTCTACCATCTCACAGACATACTGTTGAAGCTGAGCTGGGCCCCTGCAAACAGGTCTCTTTGTGACGTCCAGTCTCGTTAGAGCATTTTAAATGCTTACTCACCTCTTTCCTAATCACCCCCAGTCACCCTTGGGCCAGAATCTCTTGGAAGCATCTCAGAGCCTAGAAATCAGATGTGCAATTAACCCAAAGCAAGCAGAGGGAGCTACTGGAGGCAGGTTTGCCTGGTGGCCTTGGGCAAGGCATGAACTTTCTCTGAACCTCAGTTTCTGTCTCTGTGGTATGGGATCATCCCCTCTGAAAGTGGAGGGAGAGATTTTTAAAGGACAGTGTGGTCTAATGAGCAGCCTTCCTTTACCTTTATGAAACTTGAAGCTCATTTGATGAAACAAAACTTCCCCTTGGACCTCCAGGGGACAGGGCAATCATAGATGAGGAAACAGAGGCACAGAGAAGTTGAGGAACTTGCCCAAGCTCACACAGCTGATAAGTGGGAAAACTGGGAGGGAACCAGTCAGGCTGGCTCCAGAATCTGTGCTCTGGGAAACCAGATGGATCACGAAGGCTGCTGGAAGGCATGGCGTTACGGAGTGTCCGGGGGCTGGAGTAAGCTGGGTGGAGAAGGGGCTGGGGATGAATAGGGGCTAAAGGAGGCAGAGGCACCTTCTCATCCAGTGCTCACCCAAGGGGAGTGAGAGTGGAGTTGCCACCTCTCTGCATCCCTCCTCCCTGGAACCTAGCACCAGGGAGGCCCTTTGTAGACTCCCAACTTTTCTACAAGTGACCAGAGGAAGATTTGCATGGATGATGCACGGGTGGGAAAGAAAGCTGGGCCCTAACATTTTCTAGTGTTATTGGGTGCCAGGTGGTAGTCTATTTTACCTCATTTAATCCTTGCCCAGCAGACAACTTTCCTGCTGGGGGAGGTTAGCCATTCCAGTTCCTGACCAGCTCCTACCCTCTGAGGGTGGGTGACTGCCCTGGGCCCACTGACACAGGGGAACAGAGAGAAGGAGATATTCATAGAAACTCCCCCAAAATGTCACACTACACCCCTCCCCCCCCAACCCTCCACCCCAACTCTGAGCCTCCAAGGCCATTCTCACCCCTGTTTGTTCCGTGTGCTTGTACTGAGGTTTTTTGGAGTCCAGGTAACAGGGACTGTCCCCTGGGGTCTGGTCTTTCTGTCTCCCTGTCCTGTTCTCAGTTCTTCCCATGTTGAGCCCCAACTCCCCACACCCCCAGGCTCTTGGAGGGCAGCTCACCTTTGTCCACCCCCATCCCCTGTTGGGGAGTTTTTGGGACCTCACAGGCCAGGGTGAGCAGGCAGGATGCTTCCTCCAGAGGGGGATGGGGAGCCAGAGAGCCAGCCCTAGGCCACTGCTCCCTCTCCCCAGGGTCCCCCTTCCTTCCTGCTGTCCTGCCCTGTCTCTGACTTTGGCCAGACCCACAGCTGTCTCCTGAGTCATCTTTGCTTTCTAGCTTTCTGGTTTTTACTCACCTGTCTCTGTAGTTTGAGTTTCCACCTTGGTAAGAATTCTCTGTCTCTCACTCTCTCCTTTATACTCACAAGAACAGCCAGCTCAGTGACAACTCCAAAGGACTCTCAGGGAAGACCCTCAAGGTCGAAGGACCCCTGAACCTTTCAGTCCACTGGAGCCACCGGGGTGAGTCTTGGCTGCTGGTCCTCTGGGTCAGAGCCTGACTTTCCTGGGGCTGAGCAGTCTACCCACGCGTGTACTGTGACACCTCTAGCTTCCATCATGTGCTCCCCGCCACGTAATGGCAGTTAGAAAGCCACCTTCTAGGGCTAGCGCAACTTCAAGGGACTGGGTTTGGTGGAGAATATGCTGCATAAGTGTTGGCCGTTATCATTAAGATGACCTGGAGAAGAAGGAACATCTGTGCATGGACAGATGTCAGGTTGTGTGTCCAGAAGCACCTCAGGAGCTCAGGGCAGAGAGGGGGACTCTAGGCTGGAGCAGTCAGGGGAGGCTTCCTGGAAGAGAGGGCCTCAGGTGTGGTGCTAAGGGCTGAGGCTGGGAGTTGACTGGAAGGCAGGCATCTGGGCTGGGGATGAGGTTGAGGGGGGCAGGGAACTGGTGCACCTTTGTTCATCTGTGAGAGAGCGGCAGAGACAGCTCGCCTTCAGGCCACCCCAAGGATATGAGCAGGTGAACTGTGAGTCCACACTGGCTCAGTGCAGAGGGATTGGCTCCATGCCAGACAGAGGCCTCTGGGACACAGAGACCCCACATCCCCAAAGGCTTTAAGAAGAGAGCAGCTCTGGTGGTAAGGAAGGTAGCACACTTTATTTGTAGGGGGTGCATGGCCTTACAGCAGGGCCAGGAGGAGCCCAGGGAGACCCTTCGGTCTGTCCTCTGGGCCCAGATCAAGAGCTGGGGATGTCCACTCCTGCAGGGCTCCCGTGACCCCCGGCCTTGGACTCCTTGGCCTCCATGATCACCCCTTCACAGGCCAGCCCACAGGGCTTGAGGTGGTGGGAATGGAGGGCCGGAAGGGCTGTGCTGTCCAGGGCCCGCCTGTGGCGGGTGAGGGACAGGCCCAGCATGCTGTTCATGTTTTCCCTCCTTTCCTTCTGGTGGCCCTGCTGGCCGGCGGTTATACCACTGCGGTTTGTTGGCCCCAGGGAGTGCCTCCCTTACATAACCCCTGACACAACGGCCCCTGAGACACACACACACACTGACACACGCTTCTGCACACGTACACACTCACCCACATGCTCTTGCTGAGATGCTCCTCCACAGTCTCACATCCTCAGTGGGCAAATGCTCTTGTCTTGGGAGGATTTTCACAGGCTCCCCGCCACCAACCACAGTCACACGGATGAGGGCTCCTCCCTGGGTTCAGGGGGAGAGTCTTCCCACCTCCTGGCCCTCAAGTCCCAGGTGCCCTGAGCCAGCGGGACTGACCCAGGCCTGCCAGGGGCTCCCGGGTGACAGCCTCAGTCTTTGGCTCCAGCTCAACAGGGGATGGGGGTGGACAAAGGTGAGCTGCCCTCCAAGAGCCTGGGGGTGTGGGGATTGGGGCTCAACATGAGAAGAACTGAGAACAGGACAGAGAGACAGAAAGACCAGACCCCAGGGGACAGTCCCTGTTACCTGGACTCCAAAAAACCTCAGTATAGGCACACAGGGAACAGACAGGGGTGAGAATGGCCTTGGAGGCTCAGAGTTGGGGTGGGGGGTTGGGGGGGAGGGATATAGTGTGACATTTTGGGGGAGTTTTTATGATGGCCGGTTTCAAGCTTTTAAATGCACATTGCCTTCTGCAGGGGTCCCCAACCTCTGAGATCTAATGCCTGATGATCTGATGTGGAGCTGACATAATAATAACAGGAATAGAGTGCACAATAAAAGTAATGCGTGGGAATCATCCCAAAACCATTGCCCTCCCGGATTTGTGGAAAAACTGTCTTCCATGAAACCAGTCTCTGGTGCCAAGATGTTTGGGAACCTCTGCTCCACACATGGGCTAGCCTGCAACTCAGCAATGCTGCCTCCACGAATTCATCTGAGGCAAAGACTCACCCCAAAGTCTGTGGGTAAGCATGTTTGTGCTGCATTGCTCATGAAAAAGTGAAAAAGTGCAGGGCCTTGGTGGCCGCCACCAAGCCCTCCCTCCTACAGTGGGTGGGTACCATGCTTCCATGAGAGAAGATGTTGGTGGACTGACTGAGGAGGGTGGGTCCATGTCCAGGGTGGTAAGTGTGACCCCGCTCTGTGCACTGAAGTGTGTGCGAGTTTGTAGAGATATAGTCACACAATCAAAGTCTCTGGAAGGCCTCACCCAAAGCAGCTACTGTGTGGTCAGCTGTGCCGAGTGGGGCTGAAGAGGATGCTCTGGAGGAATGCTTCCATTTGGACACATTGGAACGCACTGTCTGCTGCTTGGTTACTCAGAACAAGCATGCATGAGTTTGGAATAAGAGGACAAACTCAAGGGGAGGTCATGCGTACCAAGGAACAGTTTATTTCTCACCCCCCTCCGTTCTGAAGGGCCTTGAAGGGGGTGGGGAGGGCACTGTGGCCCCACCATTCACGGGCTGGGGTGGTGAGCAACTGTCTTCATTTCCCTTGAGCTCCATTTTCTTCAACTGTCAAATGAGAGTGGATGGTACCCCTCTCATGGGTCAGGAGGAGCTAGTTTTGTTGCACAAACAGTCACTGAGGCCCTTCTAGGGGCCAGGCTGGGGTGTGCAAAGAGGGACATGACCTTCTTGCTCTGAAGGAACTTCCAGGCCAGAGAGGAAGACAGAGCCGTCAGCAGCTGGTGTCAGATCATGAGCTCAGTGCTCCTACAAAGGCCTGCATGGGGCCCTGTGGACGCAGAGAGAGAGGTTAGATCTGAGGTTGACTTTCAGCTGAGGCAGAGGAAGTCAGGGAACATGGGGGGATGTCCCGGGGGAGCAGAGACCAGGGTGGTGAAGAGCAGTAGGCATCATCAGCCATCCATGCTCCTGGCCAGGTGAGGAGCCGTCAGGCCTGAGGCAGAGCCTCGAAGAGCATATTTGGAAGCTTGGATTTGAGCTGGGGGGTGAGGGCACCTGTCAGGGTCATAGGGCAGGAGGGGCCCAATGGCCTTGATGTTTTAGAAGTAGGCACTGGTGATGGTGGCTGAAAGGAGGAGCAGCTGGGGGCTGGATTCCCCACTGGCATTTACAGTCTATGGGACAGAGGGGCAGTTTAGGAATATTTTGGAGTCTCTTGGCTTGTGGAGGGAGGGATATCCATCAAGGGCACCGTGGGTGTATCCCAGGAATTGCTTTGGGAAAGGACTAACCCTTCAAGGGTTAGATGATAAAAGTTTCCTTCCTTGTTTGCCTTTTACTAGAATATTCCAGAATAGCAGTGTTGTCCAACAGGACTTTCTGCAATGATGAAAATGATCTGTGCAATAGCCCCCAGCGACAGCTGAGCACTTGCTATGTGGCTGGTGTGACTTATGAAGTAAGTTTTAAATTTCAAGTTAAATGTCCATACCAACATGTGGCTAGTGCTTGCCTATGGGGCAGCACAGGTCTATCTAGAGTTTCTAAAGGAAGGCAGTGGTCACTGTCATCTTAAGGCCTGGGTGGCTGGGTGGGTTTGCTGGTGGCAGGTGAGAGAGACTTCCTGAATCCGCTCAGACTGGTGTCTATTTGATGGGGTGTGAAAGAAAAAAAACCAACAACAAACCAAGAGTGCAGTAACAAACTGTTACATCCTACTTCCTACCTGCTGGGCTCTGTCCTTACTGCTTGGGTTGACTGACTCATCTGAACTTCATGATAGCCCTGGGCGATAGGTGCGACATTTTATAAATGGGGACAACAAACCACTCATCATCACACAACAAGAAGCAGCAAAGAAACGAGGCGAACAACATGACGGCTCCGCGACCCACCACGCCGCCCGCCCCACAACAGCATCGTCAGAACACCAGGAGGGGCCTCCCCTAAGAACCACCCCCACCATGATGATGTGAGCAGCCTCCGGGCGCCGTGGAACAAAAAAAGCAGCATCATCACCACCACAGAAAAGAGGAAAAAAAGGAGCAGAAGAGGCGCAGCAGGACAAAACACGGGAGGAGCGGCGAGGAGAGGAGGGCACAAACCACGTCTGTGGGAGCCCTGGCCGGTAACCCCTGAAGACTGGGACCCCGCATAGAGGGGTAGCAATACTTCCCAGGAGCCCTCCCACACTCCAGGCCCTGCAGAACTTTGAGTTCCCAGGGCTGTGCTGAGTAAACTCCTGGTATGTCCACCCTGCAAACCCTCCGGGGCCTCCCTGAGGAGCCAGAGGAACAGAATATCCAGACCTGATGCACTGAGCCTCTCGGCCCACAGGGTTTTAGGTCCGCTTTGGTAAGAGTCAATACCAACAGCTCTACGTAGGGAGGACAGTGTCCTGGGTGGTCTCTTTTCCCAGGAGTTATGTAGACACCCAGAAATCGGGAAGTCTCCAGAAGGGTCTTCCTACCCTTACTCTTCTTATCTGTGGAATGAAAGGGCTACACTAGGGCATGGTTTTTTAAATGTTTTTTTTAGCATTAAAATTGTTTTTAGAGACTTCATTTGTGGTCCATTGGCTGAGACTCTGTGCTGCCAATGCAGGGGGCCTGGGTTCAATCCCTGGTCATGGAACTAGATCCCACATGCTACAATTAAAGATCCTGTATGCAACAATGAAGATCAAAGATCCCACGTGTCACAGCTAAGACCCAGCAAAGCCAAATAAATAATTTTTTAAAAATTGTTTTTATAAGGAACCTTTTTTTTTTTCCTAGTCTACTTGCCACACAACCGACATCATTTTAACATGTGACTGGGGCTGTCTTACACCCCAGCTTAAAACCCTTCAATGGCTTCCCCCTGGGGACAGTGCCTGCCTTCATAAAGCTTAGAGTCTGAGAAGGAAGGACCATATAGACATAAACAAATGCATTTAAAATATATCGGAGGATGAAAAATGCTAGGGAGAAAAATAAAGCAGGATGAGAGGTGCCAGATGTTGTGTTGTGTTGACAGGGTGTTCTGGGTGGCCCCCTGAAAAGGTGACTATAGGAAACTGAAGAAGTGTGGAGGAGCACGGCAGAGGGAATAGCATATGCAAAGGTCCTGAGGCAGAGAGTAGGTCCAGCATGATTATGAACCAGCAAGGAGGCCTGAGCGGTAGGAGCGGGATGAGGGGAGGGAGAGTCAAGGTCAGAAGGGAACGGGGCTAACGGGTGGACAGGGGGGGATAGACAAGAACCTTGTAAGGCCTTGGTAAGATTTTTAGATTTTACTCTGAGTAAAGATTTTGAGCTCAAAGGTGACTCAAACTCATTGTGTTTTAGAAGTAGAGATGAGGCAGGACAGGGTCTACCCTGGAAAGAGATCCTGGAAGGCCTCCTGGAAATTTCTATTTGTAGATAGTGTGGGAGTAAAGCAGGAGTCTGAGAGGTAGCCTGGGATGATGTGAAGAGCCACTGCTTAGCTTCCTTTGAATTCTGCTGCAGCCTTTTCCTAGCTGCGCGGCCTCAGGCCTATGACAAATCCTCTGAGCTCAGTTTCCTCGTCTTTGAAATGGGGACAGTAACAGGGCTTCAGTCTTGACTCTTGGGAATGAGTGCACCAGTATTTTTATGTGGTCATCCATGCAGCATGCATCATTATGTAGGGGAAACAGACAATAAAAGAGTTATAGAAGCCAATGTAGGGACTTCCTTGGCAGTCCAGTGGTTAAGATTCTGCACTTCCAATGGAGGGGACATGGATTTTATCCCTGGCTGGAGAATTAAGATCTCACGTGCCGTGTGGCATGGCCAAACTAAAAAAAAAAATACAAAAAAAAAAAAACACAGAAAGAAAGAAAAACCAATGTATCACTTTGGAAAACAGAGTTAACAGTTCCTCAAAAAGTTAAATGGGAGTTACCATATGATCCAGCAATTCTACTTCTGGCTATATAACAAAAAGAACTGAAAACATGTTCACACAAAAATTTGTATATCAATGTTCACAACAGTATAAGTCAACAATAGCCCAAAGGTGGAAAACAACTCCAATGTCTATCAACTGATGAATGAAAAACAAAAGGATTTTATTCCTAGGATGGAATATTATCTTGTCGTACAAAAGAATGAGGGCTGATTCAACAAAAAAGGAACCTTGAAAGCAAGCACAGTCCGTGAAGGCAGGAATGGCATGTCAGCTCACCTCTGTTCCTGCAATGCCGACAGGTACCAGACAATCAAGAATGATCCGTGGGATGAATGAAAGGTCCCAGACAGCATCCCAAGGCAGTGGAAGGGAGCCCGGCAGCTTGTCTGACTCACACCAGCCCAGGCCCTCAGCAATATCTGCCTTCTTCCCTGTGGCACCTGGGATTTCCATCTTCACAATGCATCACCTTGAGAGTCCAGACATCCTGTGGATACATTGGCCTGAAGTTTCAACAGTAGCCAGGCCAGGGAGAAATAACCAGGATCACCTACCTATCCATGTACCTTAGCCAAATTCCTCTCCTCTGGGGTGTACCCCTTCTGCACTCAGGGATGCAGGGGAACAAATAGCAGGTCGCCAAGGGCCTACAGCCCCTTCTCCAGTGGTGCAGGCCTCAGAGGCTGTTTGCGAGCAGCCTCTGCCTCCAGCCACTCCAGGGGTGGTGGGACTTGATAAGACAAGGCCCTGGGCCTACATTTCAAAGGGTCTCCTCTCCTCATAAAACTGGCACCAGGCCCAGTGGAGAGGTCACAGGCCACCCCACAGCTTGGACCGGCCTCCTGCAGAGGGGTCACTGGGAATTCTGCGTTTCATCAAATATCGTGGGGGTCATGGAGTTGTATTTGCAAATAATTTTAATTAGCCGGAAACTAGGAGTTTAATAAGTGGAAAACAGAGAACTTTCCAAGGCCACAGCTGGGAAACACTTGCTTTTTAAAAAAATTCCGCCTGGCTTCCCAGGCCAGCTAAATACCCTGACAGGAGGGCCTGACTGCCAGAGGAATCCACAAGGAAAACAAAGCTTATTTTTAGAGAAATATTTTAAACTCTGTTTCAGCGGAGCTCAGGAGTTTTCTTGTCTGTCTAAAATCCTTAATATCTTTACTTCTATTTCAGTGCTGCCTCTCACCCCAGAGGGCACAAGAACTTCTATCTGACAAGAGCTATTTCTGCAACAGATGAAAATAAAAGGGCCCCTCCCCCGGCCAACCAGAGAATTAATTGTTTCTAAATACGTCCGTGCAGTCAGGCCCAGGAGGCCTGTGCCTGGCAGGTGTGAGCGGCCATAAAGTGGGTCTGGGGTCCCTGCAGGCTGAAGGCCTGTCTGCCACCCTTCCACTCAGCCTTGTTCTGCCCACTGCCCTGCAGGAAGCTGGTGACAGCCTGGCTGCCATTTCCGGGTTTTGAAAACAGTTTTCAACTTGAAAGAGCCTGTGAAAAAGGACTGCTGTTCCTCGGAAGGTGTTGTTAACACTCCTCAACAGAGACACCCCTCCTCCATCACACAGACACATCCAGATCCAAACATACAGCAACACCCAAAGATCCTTCCCCACACCCCACAGACCCACACACCTACCCATACAGAAACAGCTACACAGACACACCCACTCACAGCAACAGGCGCACCCAAACCCACCCACACTCACATTCAGATACATACACAAAGCAACAAAACACACACACAGCAACAGACACATTGAACCCATACCCACGTTTACACACACAGAGCAACAGACACGCTGAAACCTACACTCACACAGACACACACACACACATACCTACACACACAGCAAGACACATTCAGACCTATACCCACATTCATGCACACATACACAGAGCAACAGACACACCCAGACCCACACCCACACTCACAGATTTCCATACCCACTCACCAGCTCTCACACCCTGCAGACACACATACCTCACAAATATCACAAATCTAACAAATCCATTCACCCCACAGTTGCAGCCACATATACCAGGATTCTACAGCAACCCCCCACAGACACAGACCCCTGACATAGAGCAATGCATGCCCGTGTATACGCCCAGCCAGAGAGACAAGGACCCAGAAACACCCTGTGGATACCCTCTCAAAAGACTTCCCTCCACACATACAGATACACCCTTAGACACACATCCGCACTCACACACTTTCCAGGTCCAGCAGAAACTGTCAGGAGGGGTGGGGGGCCCCCTTCCCACAGGGCTCCTCCAGGGGCAGGCATGTTCAGCTGCCAGGCACGGGCTCCTCCCCGACCTTCCCTCTTTTCCTCCCTCCCTCCTGGCCTTGCTAGCAGCACAAATTGGAACTGCCCTGGATGGCCACAGATTTGCACATCCCCCAGAAAGCAAACAAGAATAAACACAGTTCAATGATGTAACAACAATGGAGAATAGTTATAGGCTCTTGATAGAAGGTAAGCCTGGCTGCTTACCAAGGGCTGTGTAAGCTCCCATTGAACTCAAAGGCCAGGGAAGATGCAGGGACCCAACTTCTGCTTTCAAGAAGATGTGGCCAGAGTTTGCCACACTCTTGAGGCCATATCTGCCCTCACTCTTGTCACCTAGAGCACAATGCTGATCATATGCCTGGAGACAGTTCTCTTCCAGATTCAAATGCTCTCTCGTGGGCTTACTCTCTGCATACATTTAGCCTGGAGGTTTCTGAGACTCCCCAGGCCAATTTCACCACCAAGCATCCCGGTACTGGGCCAGATCTGCAGCCAAGAGCTATGCCTGTTTGTCCTTCCCACCTTGGGCCCTCCAGGCCTGGTCCTTTCATGTGGGTTCCTGAACCATGGCAGGGCTCACAATCCTCCATCTATTCCCAAGGGCGGGTGCAAAGCTTTGGCCTTCTCAATAGTATTTTTGTGTGCCCCCACTGCCCCTGTTTCATACACTCAGCAGTAGGTTCAGACAGTGAGGGGTGGGAAGTATCTACATGCATGCAGCCTCAGAAATAATTTAGAAAGTGATGTACACTAATTGAGCTGCTTAAAAAATAGTTTTAGTTTTTTTAGTTTTTTTTTTAGTTTTAGTTTTTTAACAGCTAGTAGAAATGCTACTATTGAGCCATTCTCAACACCATCACGCTCTGGGCTCATTTTCACTACTAACTACAAAAGAATTTTATCTTGGGTATAAGACAGGAGTTAGTTTTAGTTCCACTCCCCATCCTGTGATAGGAATCCTGGCTTGTTCTTACTTGCAGTTTTTACTTCAAGTTCCCTTAATTTACAAGGAAACTTGTCTAAGGGTGATCCAGCAATAGCAGAGTGTTTTTTGTTTGCTGTTAATTCCAGCCGCTGCAGAAAGACAATGACCCCATACCCTCCACTGATCTGCAGCAAGAGGAAATTTCTGAATGACCCCCACACACACCCCCCCGCAGCTTTGCATGCTCCACTGGGTCTAAAATACAAAACATCAGCTCCTAGCAGTTGGGCTTTCAAACAAACCGATTTTTAAAAATGAATGTGGCTTACCCCAAAAAGAAGTCGAACGTTCCAGTTGATCAAAAAGTACTTGTTAAGGAAAATCAGTTTTGGAATGAAGTGGAAACAAGGCCTTTGAAATGCAGTTTGGCCCTACATAGCACATTTTAGACTTTTCCTTGCCATTGCACATTCTTTATGGTAAAGAGCCCATAGGTCTTCACCCTTCCAGTCCTCCAGGGCCACAAGCTTCCCTTCCCCCACCGTGAAGCTTTCAGCCAGGCATTTGGAACTTTGAAATTGTTCCCTATCCCCTTTGGCAGCGTGCACCCAGCACCAAAACGCTCCAGTTTAACACCAGCGCAATCACTGTTAGCGTGAAGCAGCTGCTCAAGGCCTGGCGGGCTCCACTGATCACCCCCACCCAACCAGTCTCAGCTGTGAGACTCAGGAGACCCCAGTGAACACAGGGTCAAGGGGATGGGAGTAGAGTGATAGAACCCAGTTGCTGCAGATGAGGAAACAAACTTTTGTTAAAGCTCTTATTTACTTTGGAAAAAGTGAACTGTGTGTGTGTTAGGGGTTGGTGAGGGATAGAGAAGGAAAAACAGGAATTGTTTTATGAAGCACATTTTTAAGCTTTAAAGCAACTGTAGGAAAGAACCATACTCAGGTTTTGTTCAATTGTGTGAGAATCAGCAGAGGGATTGAAAGCTTTTTTTTTTTCCTTCCTTTTTTCCAGACCTGGGTTGAATTTGCTTTCTGGCCGCTTATAGTAGTCTCAAGCACAAACACCAATCCTTTTGCATAAATAACGTGTGTGCTCACTCCCAGAGGAAGCTGTCCACATAAACAAACACTACCCAGATATAAGTTTAACTTGTTTAATCTTCCTTCTCTTTCCGTCCTCAGCACAACCAGGCTTTCCAAAGTCCAGGCCAAAGCCTGGTTCTCTGGCCCAGAAAGGCTGGGCTTTAACTTCCCACCCCCAATTCAGCCAGGGGCTGGCAAGACCCTCCTCACCCAAGCAGTTGTTTCCCGGGTGTCCCATTGGAGGAAAAAAAAAAAAAAAAAATCCAGACCTTCAGCTGCCACAGCGGACACGTGATCGCTTGGTGACTCACAGGCAGGCCACACCCCTCAGGCCTCCCAGCCAGGACCTGCTACCAGTCAGCCAACTCGGGGATGCATCTTATTAGCAAAGGGAACAGCTAGCTAAACTAGTGCCCTTGACAGTCTAAATTACTTTTCTTTCAGCTGAAAGAACTTGCTATTAAAACACATAGGGAGACAAGCTCTTCTGAACTCCGGCTCTGCCAGCCCTCTAAACCCTAGCGCCCAACTCTCTAAGACCTGGGCAATGCCTGACAGTGGTGGGAAGCTAGAAAGCTCTGTAGGTATCCCCATTTTAAAAAAGGAAGCTATCTTACACATTAATACCTTTTTTTTTCCCAGAAGTTTTATTGGGGGAAAACTACAAAACATTTACAGTACAATGTTTACAGTCACAATTTGTAGTGAACTGATTCCCCAAATATATTACAACTCAAGTTGACTTAACCTTGTTACATTCAAAATACCTACTTCTGTCAAAGTAGTCCACAATACATACATACATAGTGCTCCAACTGTACCTACGTACAAACTAAAGCTACTGCTCATTCAGCCGCTGTCCAGAAAAGCATTCCTGCCTTTCCACACGGGGAAAAAAAATAGTACAAGTTTTGGAATTTTCTGTAATTAAACAAGGCATATTCATGTACTACATACCATTTTAGCACTAAGAGGTGGCCTCTTCACTTTATATCTATATAAAAAAAGTGGTAAAAATCTTCTCCTTTTGTGCAGTTGAACCCATCCTACATTCAGATTCTCTCAAGCACTAATAGACAAAATACTTATTTGGTTGAGAAAAATTTAAGGCAAGTTCTGGCCCTTCCAAAGGCACTGTGAGATTACCATCCCCCCCATTATTGCTACATGTCTTTATATGCAGAGTATGTCACAGTAGAACTGGTGGAATAAGCAAACAAAAAACATCTTTTGCTAATTTATAAAGTTGGAATGAGAAAAGCATGCCACATGTAAGCCTGATTGCAATGTGGTCACTTTTTTCTTTTAAAGTTGGATGGGCTACAACCATTATACATTCTAAGAAAAACTCATAAGATATTCCTCAAACTACTTCCACAGCATCAAGATAGATTTCTGTAAAGAAATCATGCAATCTTTCAAAATTTACGTAAACAAGGAAAGAAATTAATGAAATAAATATTACATACAATCTCTTAAATTAAGATTTTTTTACTCATTTACAATAAAATAACGATGTGAAGTTACAAAAGGCATATATTACTGTGAAAAGAACATACACTCCACATTTTGCCGATTAATAATGGCAATCATAACTTAACATAATAAAAGAATATATATCTATTGCTTTTCATCATACTTGATAAATACAGTATGAACAAAATTTTCAATGTATACTTTTCACAAGATAATAAATAAGTTAAATAGTTTTTTTCATATTGAGTTGTGGTGCAGTGGTGCGAATCAACTCAAAACAGCTAAAAATTCAGCAGTTATTCCCCAACAATTACAAACTAAGCTCTGCCCAAGGCTTCCAGAAAGAGCAGACAAAATGGTTCTAAATTAAACATCCCCTAAGTGGTGGCAATGAAACCAGTAACCAGTATGAAACTTTGGAATGCAAGGGTTTTTTTTTTTCCAGACATATATAACTTTGTTAAA